AGTGCCCCCCCGTGTGTGTGTGTGTGTGTGTGTGTGTGTGTGTGTGTGTGTGTGGCTTTTGAGGTAGGTGTGGCCTGAGACCACTCTATATTCTTTATACAATGATTTCTACTATGGGACAGATTATAGTATTTTCTTTTTTAGTTTTCAAATAAAAAATGGTAAAGTCGTTAGTGGTTTCTACACTCTGAAGCTGCCAGGAGGTATACTGAGCTTTTTAGCAGTTACAACTAGATGTTGTTGAAATACCTCCTGGGTCTGGTATTGTTGCAGATTTTTCTGATAACTAATGCTTTCTCCTTTAAGCACCAATGCTCAAAATATTTTTACCCACTTTGAATGGAAATCTTTCTAAAAATTATATCACAATTTCTATCTCCTAAAAGGCACAGGGCACACACACACACACACACACATATATATATATATATATATATGATTATATATAGATTATATATATATATATATTTAATCTCTTTTTGATTATTCAGGCTGACCTGAAAATTATATGAACATCGTAATGAGGCATTATCTCGTATTGTGGTTAAGCACGTACCTTCTCTAGTTTGACAGAACTGGGTTGGAGTCTTGGCTAGGTCAGTTACTGACTGTGTGAGTCTGGGAAAAGTTACTTGACCTCACTATGCTCCTATTTCCTCATCTGTATAAGGGAGACATTACTAATACTGCATAGGATTGTTTTAAGGATCAAATGAGATAATGCATTTAAGGCACTTAATATATCACTGCACATAAGACATGAACAGTAGCTGTTTGCTGTTACGTAATTACTAGGTAGTGTTCTTTGCACTGCTATGTGCAAAATTATGCCTGTAAAGGATATATAGGAGCCATATTGAGGCACTCCTAGAACCTTGAGAGAAGTCTAATAAAATCAATATGTAAGGAATGAAACTGAAAGCTGAGCTGGGGAGTACCAAGCAGACAAGAACGCCGACCATCCAGTCTCAAGCTTCCAGGTAGCTAGGCACAGACCTAAACACAAATATTTGCAAATGTCACTTACATAGAGTATTTCTTGGGCCTAAAGTGATCAACATAGTGCCTGGCATAGGACATGCCTAATAGATTTTTGTTGGCTCTATGAAACTGAAAATGTACAAAAAGCAAGAAAAGAAGGGCTTGACTACTGCCCAGAACACACTATAATTTATCTAAGGAAAGAATGCCAGCTTGAAATGGTCAGTTTGGGAATGCAGAAAAATGGAACCAGAGATGCAGCACCACACTGACAAATTGAGTATGAGGCTCTGGGGAAGGTGACCACATTAAAGAGCTGCTGACTGCTGTCCCTCTGGATGGTCAGTTGGCCTCTCTGAGTGACCTCTATCTTTGTGTTCTCATATGGCTACAATGTCTTAAGATCTCTAGAAAATTACACAGCTAGTATCCGATCAGGGAAATCTGCTGGGACAGCTGGGGAACAAAGTGCTCTTGGAAGCACTTCCCAACTTTGAGAGTATCCTTTGAAACACAAAACATTTTTAATTTTGGTGAAGTCAAAAATCATCTATTTTAAATTTTGTTATTTGTACTTTTGGTATCATATCTAAGAAACTCTTGCCTAATCAAAGGTCATAAAGATTTACGTTTTCTTCTAAGAGTGTTATAGTTTTAACTCTTAATGTATTAAGGTCTTTGATCCATTTTGTTATTTTTTTGTTTTGTTTTGTTTTTATCTTTCTTTAATTTTTAATTTTTTTCATTGTACATGTTTATGAAGTACAGTTTGTTGTTTTAATACATGCATATATTGTATAATGATCTAATCAGAATAGTTAGCATATCTATCACCAAAACATTTATCATTTCTTCATGGTTACCTTTCCCCGCCTCTCCCCCAATGCCTCTGGTAACCACTATTCTACTCTCTATTTCTCTCCTTTTTACCCCTTGTCTTTTAAATTTATTTTTCTTAATAGACCCATGATAATCATATATATATGGAGTATGATATGATATTTGGGTACATTCGTAGTATGTGCAGTGATCATATCAGGGTGCTTAGTATGTCCATCACCTCAAACATTTGTCATTTCTCTGTGTTAGAAATATTCATCATCTCGACTAGCTATTCAAAGATACACAGTACTTTGTTGTTAACTGTAGTCTCCCTTATATTACTATAGAACCTTAGATCCCGTTATTCCAATTTTCTACTATTTTGTATCCACTGACCACCCTCTCTCCATCCCCTTCTCTCGCTTCCACCCACCAGTGTCTAGTAACCACTATTCTACTCTTTTTTTTAGCTTCCACATATGAGTGAGAACATGTGGTGTTTCTCTCTGTGCCTCGCTTATTTCACTTAATGTAATTTTCTCCAAGTTCATCCGCGTTGCTGCTTTGATCCATATTGAGTTAATTTTTGTACATGGTGGGAGGTAGGGGTCCAAATTCATTCTTTTGTGTGTGCACATCCACTTGTCTCAGCACCATTTGTTGACAAGACTTTTCCCATTGAATTGATTAATGTAGCTTCATAGTAAGTTAAAGTCAGAAGGTGTGACTCTTCCAACTTCATTCTTCATTTTCAAAATTATCTTAATGATTCTGGATCCCTTACATGTCCGTATGAACTTTAGAATCAGCTTGTCCATTTTTGCAAAAAAAAAAAAAAAAAAAGCCAGCTGAGATTTTGATAGGTATTGTGTTCAATCAGTAGATCGCTTTGGGGAGTATTGCCATCTTAATAATATTAAGTCTGAATCCACAAACATGAGATGTCTTTCCGTTTATTTAATAGGTCTTCTTTAATGTCATTCAATAATGCTTTGTAGTTCTCAGTGTATGTGTCTTGAATGTCCTTGGTTCGATTTATTCCAAAGTATTTTATTCTTTTTGATGCTATTATAAATGGGACTGTTTTCTTAATTTGGTATTTAGATTGTTCATTGCAAGTATATAGAAATACAATTGATTTTTTGTATACATCTTGTATCCTTAAACTCTGCTAAACTTGTTCATTAGTTCTAATAGCTTTTTGATGGATCCATTATGGTTTTCTTATACAAGATTATGTCATCTGTGAATAGAGATAGTTTTGCTTCTTTCTTTCTGTTCTGGAGGCCTTTTATTTCATTTTCTTCTCTAATTTGTCTGGCTAGAACCTCCAGTTGAATAGAAGTGGTGAGAGCAGACATCTTTGTCTTGTTTATGATCTTAAGGGAGAAAACTTTCAGTTTTTATACCATTAAGTATAATGTTAGGTAGAAATTTTTTACAGATGCCCTTTATCAGGTTGGGGAGGTTCCCTTATATTCCTAGTTTTTTGAGTTTTTTTTTTTTTTTTTTTCAGTTATGAAAGGGTGCTGAATTTTGCCAAATACTTTTTCTGTATCTGTTAAGATGACAATTGGCTTTTGTCCTTTATTACATTGATGTTATATTACCTTGATTTTCACATATTAAATCAATCTTGCATTCCTAGGATAAATCCCAGTGGGTTATGTTGCATATGCACATAGAAATTTGTTCACATTTGTGATTATTCTTGAAGCATCTTTCTTCATAGAAATGGAATTATTGTGTCAAATTTTGATAGATAATGTCAAATCCTCCTACGAATAATGCTATACCAAGTTACACTCCCACCAATACTGTAGAAAGTGTCTTCTTTTTCATGTCTCTGGCAACAATGAATATTATTTATCTTTTATGTTTGCTAAACTGATGGACAAAAATGGTGTTTCATTTATTGCTGTAATTTGTATTTCATGACTCCTAATGAGTTTGGACATCCTCTCAACCCTTTATAGTCCATTTGTATTTCCTTTCTGTGAAAAAATATATCTTTCTTATTTTCTTACAGAGTGGAGAAGGAAGGGAGAATACTCAGGCCCCTAGTGAAAGCTTTCCAGAACATATGGAAAAATCCTCATCTCTAGGTAGAGTGTCACTAATGTGACCAGGAAGTTCTTTGACAACACAAGTTCTAGCAATGGTAGTTTTGTTCTGTGTTGCCTTTGAAGTTGGTGGGAGTCAGAGACACATACAACTCTTCTGATCAGTCAAGAATGGCCTGGATGGTATTTCTCTGCATTGTCCTGGCTTTTTTGTCCTCTGCCATCATTACTACCAACTCATTGCTAGAGACACTCTACCATCTTCTATGCTGCTCTTGGGTGAAGCTTACTTTGGAAAAAGATGTTCTATTCATGAAGGATTTCATTGAATGTATATGAGGTTCAGTTAGTACTTCCTTTTTCTCCTTCCCTCCTCCTCTTTTTCTTCCTCTTTCTCTCTCTTTCTCACTTTCTTTCCTCCTAATACCAGCTGGTAGGAGTATGGTTTTTTTCTCTGCCCCCACCCCCTCACTCCCTCCTGTCTCCCTGAGTCACTCCATATGCCTTGTCGCTGGAACAGCATGGGTGCTTTCCCTAAAGTGAGGCCCGTGGGATGGACGATTTGCCATTTCCCAGGGGCTCCTCTGCAGGGAAGCAGTTCTGGAAGTCAGGCAGCTCTACAAATGATCACGAGTCAAGGCTAAGTCTTTAGGAGAGAAGCATCTCCCTGGAGGAGTTAGGCACAAGGCCAAACAAGTAACCAGTAGCTGTAATGGTATCAGAAGACCTTCCTTCAAGCCCTGACCCTGCCACTTGTGTGAAGTCAGAGTTCTCTTCTGCAGGCCTCAGTCAACTCATCTGTAAGAGGAGGAGACTAGAGTAGGGCTTGGGTAATGTCTAATGGTTGGCCTTTGTTTTTAATTGGCCAGTTTCCATCAGTTTCCACTGGGTAAAGCTTTGCATATTTAGCTGCTCAATTTGAGCTAGTGGGAAGACTAAAGGGGATTGGTAAGTTGTTTTTTCCTCCCCCCCCCCTTTTCTCTTTTGGTTAAACAAATTTGACACCTCCCAACGGAATTATCAAGGGTAACTTTAACTCACCTATGACTTTGGTGATCCTAATCTTTTACTGACTGCATTGCATTTCTGTAAAAATTAGACTTCGAGTAAGGTTATAAATATTTCCCATCTATAATGAACCGTTTCATTCTCCCTGAAAGAGACTATTTGATTGGGGGCCTGTTATCAGAGAGCCCAGGAAGGGCATCCAGGATACTTTGGGGAACGGAAGTATGTGAAGGGCCGCTGGAGAGCGCTTCTCGGCTTGGGTGTCTCAGCGGCTCACCAAAGACTGTGGGGGACCCGGTTGCATCTGTGGGTGAGGGAAAAAGCGGGCCACCAGGGCCACTAGTCCGTGAGTCCGGGATTCCCGTTCGAGGCTTTGGCAGGCCGGGCGCCGGCTGCCCTGGGCTCGGGGCTGAACCAGGAGGCAGCAGCATGCGCAGTGCAGCCGCCGCCGCTACACCGCGGCTTTTGCTGCTGCTGCCGCGGCTACCCGGGTTGCCGCTGCTGCCGCTGCTGCTGCTGCTGCTCTGCCCTGCGCCGCTGTCACTTCCAGTTCCTACTTCTCTGATCCAGGTCCGGGTCACTGCTTCCCCGCCGCTCGCCCAGTCCCGTCCAGGCCGCTTTCCCTCCCGGGCTCCGGCTCCGGGCAGGAAGGCGCCAGTGCGGGCAGCTGAGTGGAGTCCGAGGAGCCTCACGGGTAGGCTCCCCCGG